TACCACGATCTCTTCGAGCAGAAGGCTTAGAGGAAGGCTGCAGAATGTCCACTTGAGATGGACAGGACGGGTGTCTTAGCCTCAGTTCCTCCAGAGGCCCCTCCCGCAGGGGCTGTCTTCGTTCTCCTTGGCCTTTGTGTGCTGGCTTGAGTGCATGTTGTCTTTATTCTCTTTGCAGCGCTGAAGAGCATCACCTGCACCACTGATTTGGGGGGATGGGTCCGCATGGAGCATGAGCTGACAAGGACTGCAGTGTGTGTGGCTGGCAGTCCAGGACTTCCAGGTCTCTCGCAGTATCTCCTTTGGGTGGTTGAAGCACTGTGTGCATGTGGGGAAGCATTTGGAGTGCACAGAGGAGCTGCTAGGATGCAGAAAGAACCCTAGCTACCCAAATTGGAGCCACCCTTGGGGAGGGCCAGGCCACCGCAGACCTCAGGCCTCAAGACAGTGCCCCAGAAGAGCCTTATCCCAGTGCCTGCCTTCCTGGTCAGGCTCCTCCCATTGAGGGACCTGGCCTTCCTGGCCCTGGGCCAGTCCTGGGGGGACAGCACAAGCTCTGCCCCAGCCCAACCCAGAGTCAGCTGGGGCTGAGATCAGTAGCTGTTCTGAAATGAGGGGCTTGTTCTTACAGACTAAACTGGAAGGCGTCCTGCTTTCCAGAAGCGTGTGGCATTGAGCCGACACAAGCAGTCCCCTCAGGATTGGTTTTGAGTCCCCTTATGGTATCACTCCCGTTTGCCTAATTCAGGGGCCAGAGCAAACCTGCTGCTGAAGGCTCCCTGGTGATGCTTTGCCTCACTGCTGAGGGGAGCATCCTGCAACTGCTCAGTTTAGGTCCTGATCATTTTGGGGGGTGTCATTGAATGGGGTTCAGTCTCCAGCACCTAACCCTCCCCTCAACCTTGCCAGGGAAGGTCTGGATTCGGCCACAAACTTCAGGAAATTCGTGCCCCCAAGCATTGTTCCTGGCCCTCGATTTTTTGGGCTCCCGAGGACCGGGAATTTCAAAGAATTCCAATGTGCAAATTAGAATTCCTTCCAGTGGCTTTGTTTTCAGCTGGACCCTAAAGCAGAGGGGAATTACAGGTATGTCCCATGCTGACCTCCAGAACTAGTGTGGAGAAGGGAAGGTCCCAGGCACCGGCATTTAGGTGATGTCTGTTAGGACTTCAGCGCCCCAGCTGCCTAGGTTGTAAATGCTTTCTGAATTTCATGTTGTTGTTCTGCATGCCTTAGGAACAAGCACATAGGCGAAACCAGCAAACTTTCCAGTAATGTAGTGGGGCTTTTGAGAAAGGCCCCTGGTGCAGAGGAGTCAGAGAAAGGATGGAGCACATGTAGTCCGTGTGCCTGGTCACACAGAGGCCTGCATGCAAGTACGAAAGCAATTGTATGGGCTTGTCGCTACCGCGTACTTGTATTAGGAAAAAACAATTTGTATTTGAAGCCAAATGAACAAAACTCCAGTACTACTGAGTAAGAAATCTTGCATGAAGAAAGGCTTCTGAAGACTCATGTTCTCCAGTCCCAGCTCCCAAAGCTGCTGGTGACAAGGCCCCCGGTGTGGAGCCCAAGTCTGGGAGCCCCTAATGTCTGGCTGGCCAGAGTTTGGGGTTCACAGTGGACTTGCCTCTGCTCCAGAATCAATAATATAGATATTAAGTGCAATTGATTAAATAAGCAATGAGTTACTTGTAGCTTCCTTTAGCTCTACCGAGCTCTTTTTAAAAACTCAAAACTTGAGCAGCCTTAGAAAAGGGGTGGGTGGGGTGGGTGGGACCATTTCCTCCAGGTGGGTTGCTGTGAAGTTTTAAATGAAAGCTCCAGATCTTGGAACTCGAGCCATTTCCTGGCTGCTGCACAAAAGAGTTTTTAAAGAGGGGTCGGAACCCGCCCATAGCAGCGGGTCTTCCCACTGCGTGGGGCTGTACTTACGTGGTGGTCTTGGTTTCTGACCATTGTCCGGAGAAATGCTCTCTCACCAACTTGCCCCTCTTAGAGGGAAAACTGTGATTACCTCAACCAGAATATGAAACTGTGATTGAAAAAAGTCAAAACGTTAAGTTTAAAAGCCAAGTGGCAAAACTGGCTAAGGCCTCCTTAGACACTCCTCAGCCTGCTCAGGAGTGTGAAGGGGCACATAGGTGAAAGGGCATTTCACTCCTTGGGGCACACTCTGTGCCTGATGAAGAGGCACACTAGCAGTGCACAGTGTGAGCTCTTTGAGGACTGAGGCCGGGGGTGCATCCTCCGCACTGCCTCTTCCAGAACCTGCGGGCCTCTGGGTTCGGACCCTGAAGTTTAATATCCACTTGATTCCTCCAGGTGGAGGGTGGGGCTTAGCTGCCTCTCGAGGAAGGGCCATGACACTGTGTTTTAGATTTTGACATTAGAAGTGGATACCAAGGACCCAGCAAAGACATCGGGTGAGGGTTCCTAGGGACAGGCAGAAGTCCTCCAGGGGCTGACATGCTTTTTGCCAACTTTCCTGTTAGCAGCTTCAGTTCTATATCACCCAGAGTGAGTGTGATACTGTTGAAATCGCTGAAGTTATGGGTCATTTTACGTTTTGATGTGGGACTTTTTATTTTATTTTATTTTATTTGGAGGGAGGAGGCAGAAATTGGAGAAAAGGGATTACCCTAGGAAGGGGCGGCTGGCAAGGAGTTAGGTTGGCTCCCCTAAGCCCTGGGGCTCTCTGACCTCAGCCTGCACACAAGGCCCTGCAGGTCACAAGAAAAAGTTCCCTCCTAAATTCAATTAGGATTCTGGAGAATTTTTGCACAGTAATAAGCTCTGAGTTGCTCTTCAGGCTTCTCGAAAGGGAAAAGTTAACTCAAAGATTGTAAACTATTAAGTATTCATTCCAGCATGTTGCTGACCTAGTTGGATAGTTGTACCTCAAAAGTAGGTGAGAAATGGCTTCCTCGTTGTCTTAGGTTGTCAAATACTAATGACAGAAGAAGAGCTCACTTACGTGCCAAAATTCACTTTTATACTAGTTTTTCAGTGCTTTAATATTTGTAACTTAAATTTTAAAACTCATTTACAAACACTACTGTAACTTCAGTGAAACTGAATTGTGTGATTGAAGCTTTTTGCTTATTATAGTATTTATTACACTACTTAATTCAGTAAATATATTAAAGTAGCCTTCAATTTATTTTTATATTATTTTACATGTTTTTACCTGCAGTTGTGTATTTGAATTGACCTTGGTAACAGATGTGATGCTAAGGACCAATAAACTATCACTGAACAAGCAAGGCCTCCCTTTGTTGCTGTCCCTGTAGACCCAGCCCCGAGGTGTCCTGGGGTGGGGCTGGGGAAATGGCCCACAACCTGGGACGGGTACTTGCCCCCCTGCTTCTGCAGAGAGCCTCTTTGCTGGGGCTCCCCCTCCCTTCCTCAGACCTCAGTGTGGCCTTCAGAATAAAATTCTATGTGGAGAAACCACCCTGGCTTGGTGTGGGCACTCCCGGGGTCTCAGAGAAAACCCATCCCAGGCTTACAGGTCCCTATGAGTCGTCGCATCCCCAGGTGCCCCCAC